TTTGGTTATATAAGAAAATGTCCATAATTTTTTAAGACTTACATACCCGAAGTAAGTAGGAGTAAAATGACATGATGTCTGAGAAGTGCATAGCTGCTTAAAATACTTCAGCAAAAGGAAAAAAGAAGATAGATGAGGCAAGTGCTTTTATTGAGACAGGGTCTCACTATGTTGTCCAGGCTAGAGTGAAAAGGTTATTCACAGGCATAATCATAGCTCACTGGTGTCTTGTACTCCTGGGCTCAAGTAATTCTCCTGCCTCAGTCTTCTAAGTAGCTGGGACTACAGGTGCATGTCATCACATCTGGCAAAATCTTGGTAATTATTAAGAGTGTGTATGAGATCATTATTCTATCCTTGTATACATTTAAAATCTTTCATAATTAAGTTTTACCTTCTCATTGCCCATCTAAAAATAATCTTATTTCCAGAGGATGTGTCACTATTTTAAAACTGTTTGTATATACAGTATGTCTGCTATTCACCATTTTAGTTTCTGGAAAGGAAGGGTTTCCTCCTGGAGCATTTATTTAAAATAGATGCTCCCATTTATTATCAAGAGTTTTTCCGAGACTGGGAGAAATCCAGTCTTACATATAAGTGCATATACTTAATAAACACGATACCAGTCAATTAAAAATAAATCAACATAAAAATAATTCAGGGGCCGGGTATGGTGGCTCATGCTTACAGTCTCAGTACTTTGGGAGACCATGGCGGGAGGACTGTTTGAGCCTGGAAGTTTGAGACAAGCTTTAACAACATAATGTGACCTCATCTCTACAAAAATATCCGAACATTAGCCAGGCGTGGTGGCACGCTCATGGAGTCCCAGCTACTTGGGAGGCTGAGGTAGAAGGATATCCTGAACCCAGGAGGTCAAGGCTGCAGTGAGCTTTGTGTGTGCTACCGCGGTCCAGCCTGGGTAACAGAGTGAGATCCTAACTCAAAATAATAATAACAACAGTAGTAATAATAATAACAATAATTCAGGGCTGGATGTAGTTGCTCATGATTATAATCCCAGCACTTTGGAAGGCCAAGGCAGAAGGACTGCTTGAGTTTGAGACCAACCTGGGCAATATAGTAAGACTTCATCTCCACAAAATAATAGTAGTAATTCAGGCAAGAAGAAAGCCAAGTCACAATATTTAACTCTCAATTATTTGCTATACCAGAGTTTGTTAATGGTAACTCCTGCTTCCAAGTTTTTGACATTATCACCACTGTAGTTGTATTTTCAAACACAGATAGAAGAGAAAGGCTCCATGTATAACTGGGAAGTTATAAAATAGAAACACTTAAAACTTCAGGTCCCCTGGTACACCTCTACCTCCCCTCAGTTCATCAGCAGAACAGAAGCCTGAGAGCCAAGAGCAAGTTTGCAAGTCCCTGGTGATTTTCAGGGTATACCTGATAAGCAGAAGCTCTGGAAAGGCCAGAGCAGTCACAATGACCAGTATCGAATGACATCAGAAGCAAAGACACAAACCCACTGAGTCTTTTGGTAACATCTTTGTTTCCACAGTTTAGTAATAAACTGACCACATAAACAAGGAAAGTGAGTGATATACATTCCTCTTTATACATACTGCATTTAAATCTAAAACATCTGGAAATTTACAATCCTCAAGTTTCAAGAAAACGAGATAAGTGGCAAGTAATATGATGCCATCAAGAATTATTCAGAAGAGTCAGACATTTTTAGCATGCATCATAGGGTTAAAGAGTTCAGCTTGGTCAAGCTCAGTGGCTCATGCCTGTAATCTCAGCACTTTGAGAAGTCAAGGTGAAAGAATTGCCTGAACCGAGTTCAAGACAAGCCTGGATAGCATGGTGAGAACTCATCTCTACAATAAATTTTTAAAAATTAGCCGGGCATGGTAGAATGCACCTATAGTCCCAAGTACTCAGGATGAGAAGGCAGAAGGAATGCCTGAACCCAGCAGATCAAGACTGCAGTAGCTATGATCATGCCTCTGCGCTCCAGCCTGGGCAACACAGTGAGACCCAGACTCAAAAAATTTTTTTAAAAGTTTGATTTCCTACCTTCCCATTATAACACATACTCATAAATGAACAGCTTCAGATATCACAAAGACCCAAATTAATAATTATGTTCAGAAAATGTCGACTGCTAAGAACTGTGTTCTAATTCTTTAAAAGATCAGGATCCATGCATGGCATAAAGGACAATTATCAGTTTACTAAAATAATCCATCATCATACAGGTTACTTCTTAATCTCTTTATATTTCTAGTATGTAAAAGATAAAAAAGTTAATTTTTGTATCAAATACTTCAAGCATATAGGAAATTTTTAAATAGCAAAAATCCATGAATTTGCTATCCAGGCTTAATATCAACATTTATTAGCATACAACATTACAAAAGCAAACATACAATTTTTCTTGTTCCTTGATTCAGCCTTCTCATAAATCTCGAACTCCCCCTTCTATTTTATTCAAAACATTCCCAACTTCCCACATCCCAGTTCTCACCCCTTTGCCTCACAAATCGCCTTTCTCTATTACTTTGCAGACAGGCTTTTAAAGAATTTATACTTCCAATTTCCACAGCCTCTCTTGTTATTTATTCTCTAACCTACTAAAACCTAGATTCTGTCCACTGGACTTTTATTCAATTCCAAAACCTTAGAAACCCATGGCTACTTTTCAGATGTCATATACTTGATCTGGAGGCATCTCTGACTGAGGCTCACAGAGCTGGCTGTCCCAGTCAGAAGGTCCTCGAATTACAAACTACCTTCTTTAGATAATGAGGAAATAGTGTTTGGGCTGTCCAGCCCAGAATTCTGTGGCAAAAAACACGTATAAAAGTTAGTAAGCCAGGACCTAAGTGGAGGCACGTAGAGGCAGAAGGAAGACGACATGTTTTCCTTTTTTTTTTTTTGAGTTGAAGTCTCATCCTGTCACCCAGGTAGGAGTGTAGTGGCACACTCATGCCCACCGCAACTTCAACCTGCTGGGCTCAAGTGATCCTTCCGTCTCAGCCTTCCAAGTAGCTGGAACTACAGGCACAAGCTATCACACCAGGGTTAATATTTTGATTTATTGTAGAGACAAGATTTCACAAAGTTGCCTGGACTGGTCTCGAATCCCTGAGCTCAGACAATCCTCTTGCCTCAGCCTCCCAAAGTGCTGGGATTACAGGTTTGAGCCACAGCGCCCAGCTGATGTGCTTTCAACTACAACTTCAGCAAAGAAAGGCAGAATTATCGCCCAGAAATCATAGCTCTAACAACTGTGGAATATCCCATATTAATGAAAAAAATATACACGCTTTCTATTCTGTTCTATTCTATTCTATTCACACAGACAAAAATACTTAAGGATATATAACACAATTCTAATGACAATGAAATATCTGGATGCTAAGATTAGGGATAGTTTTTATATTCTTTCTTTCAATAATATTTATTTTGTTAATTATCTACAATGCTAACAACAATTAGATCCCTGAATGTTAAGATTAGGGATAGTTTTCTATGTTTTAATAGTATGTATTTTGTTAATTATCTACAATGAATGTGAATATATATATTTTTTTACAAGGTTGCATTTTTATTTTTTTAAAGAAAAAGATGGGCAGGTCTGTCTTCCAGTGTAACATAAAAGGATGTTGCTAGGGAGATGCAGCCCTGCAGATACTTGCAGAAAACCTCCAGGGAATGAGTGGGTGTGGCAGCCTGGAAGGGGAAACAAGCTCTCTCACAGGAATCCGCCTGACCTGATATAACCCAAGAAGTGTCTGGTGTTCCCCACAGGCTTGCCAGTCAGCCAGCAAGTCCTTCCAACTCTCCCTTCAAAGTACTGCTACAATCTCACTGCTGCTCTGTACTCCACACTACCACAACTCAACCAAGCACCCTAGTCATGTCCCCACTCTGGGTTCACTTACTCCCAACCCCACTGCTATATGGCTACTTGTGTCTAAACACGATGAGCATCTGAAAATATTTCAAGAATATTTAGAGTACAGGATACCCTAAACTCCCAAATGTATACATCCCTCTGCTCACCTTTACTAGCCCAATTTCCCAGCCCAGACACTAGGCTCAGCTAAACCCAATACCTGCAGTCTCTGAAAATCCCATACTGACTTTGTGCCTCTGTACACACTCTTCCCTCAGCCTAGAATATGTTTCCCTACGCTATCTGCCCAGCAAACTCCTACTCACCCTTTATATCTAGCTCCCAGGAAATCTGGAAAGCACACCTGGTCAACTGGCTGCTCTCTTCTCTGTAGCCTTATTCATTTTGTATAAGAATCTAGAATAGTGCCCTAAACACAGTAGGTATTCAATAAATATTTCATGAACCAATGAATAAATGTGTTTGGTTTTACTGCATATTTTTATAGAAATCGCATAAATCAATTTTAGGATCTAAAAAACAGGCACTAATACCAGTGCTCTTTGGATAAAATCAATTCAAAGTTTTAGATCTAACTGAAAAGAAATGAGCAGACCAAGTGTATACTGGGTAAGTGGTAAGATTTACTAGAAAAGGATCCCAAGGCTGAAAGGCCCAGAGGAAACACCAGACACTTCTTGGGTTACATCAGGCTGGGCAGATGCCTGTGAGAGCACTTCCTTCCCCTTTCAGGCTGCTACACCCACTCATTCCCTGGAGGATTTCTCCAAGTATTCTGCAGAAACTCTTAATAGCTAAGAATATTAGAACTGTATCAATTTGGAATTAGCAACTCTCTCAAATAGTAATTTAAGGACTACATATGATGGAGGGCTTTCTGTTTTTCCTTCTAATAGTCTTGGTGGCAGCAGAGACAGAGCACTGCCAAACATCTGTTACATGCATAAGTAATTAGAATACATATCTTGTCTTCAAAATCAAACCAGCAAGAATGGTTGATAACCAGGAAGCACAGAAAATTTAAGCCAACTGAAAGAAAACAGAATCCACACATAATTTTCATTTCCACCGATTTGACTTTCATCAGCGCCTGCCTATTGCCTACCTGAGCTAAAGTAGGAATTGAATTTTGACCAGTCTGAGTTTGCATGTGAGCAGATTCGCTGTTTGCCACAGAATCTGTTACACTTCCATCCTGCTGGGATTCAATTGTTTCCATGGTCATTTGTCTGAAAAGACAATAAAAAGGAAGAAGTATTAAGGCCCTATCTGAGTATCTGGAACTTCAGGCTGAGCATCCCTAATCCAAAAATCTGAAATTCAAAATACTCCTGAATCTGAAACTTTTAAGCACCAAGACACCACAAGTGGAGAATTTCACATGTGACCTCATGTGATGGGTCACAGTCAAAACGCAGATAAAACTTTGTTTCCTGTGCAAAATTACTAAAAATATTATATAAAATTATCTTCAGGCTATATGTATCAGGTGGATATGAAACATAAATGAATCCCGTGTTTAGACTTAGGTCCCATCCTCAAGATACCACATTATGTATATACAAATATTCCAAAGTCTGAAAAAAATCCAAAATCAGAGACACTTCTGGTCCCAAGCATTTCAGATAAGAGATATTCAACCTGTACTGTACTGTTTTTACCCAGCTTTCTAATACACATTTCTGATATCTAATTGTACTATTTTATTTTTTCAAGAAACAGGTTCAGTACTAGAGTTCTACCTCTCCAAGCTTAAGACATCTTTTCTGCTCACTGAATATGACCATTACCAAGGGAACACTGCAGAATGTATTATGGTAATTCGCTAATTATAAAACTAAAAAAACTTAACCATAAAGTCTCCTTGATAATTATTTTAAGACTTCTGTTTATTATGAACGTGCAGTAAAATTAGGTTTTCCTTTTTTGTTTGTTTGTGTTGTGTTTGTGTTTGTTTTTTTGAGTAGGAGTCTCACTCTGTTGCCCAGTCTGGAGTATAGTGGCATGCTCATGGCCACCACAGCCTCAACCTGTTGGGCTCAGAAGATCCTTCAGCCTCAGCCTTGCAAGTAGCTGGAACTACAGGTGTGTGCCACCATGCCTGGCTAATTTTTTGATTTATTGTATAGACGAGGTCTTGCCAAGTTGCCCAGGCTGGTCTCGAATCCCTGGGCTCAGGCAATCCTCTCCCCCGGGCCTCCCAAAGTGTAGGGATTACAGGCTTGAGCCACCGTGCCTGGCTTGGCTTTCCTTTTTTTGTGAAAAGTATACTCTATGATTCACAAGGCCTAATATACCTGCTTTAAATTATGATGTAGTATGAAAGGATAACCCCATTGTCTAAATTAAATGTGTTATAACAATGTATCTTGTAGCTGGTCCAAAGATAGTGAGTTATCTCAATCTATTGTTCCCAGTCAGTTACAGATTGAATTCCTTTTTCTATTCTTTCCCATATTCTCACTACTGCACTTGACTAGTCTTAAAAAAGTAAAAAAGAAAATGTGTCTTGCTTTGTTAGTACCAAGTAGCTTCTAATAAACAAGCCCTAGTTATTGAAAGAAAAGGATTGGCCAGGTGTGGTGGCTCACTCCTATAATTCTAGTGCTTGGAGAGGCTGAGGCTAACAATTCAAGACCAGCCTAGGCAAACATAGAAAGACCCCAACTCTATAAATAATACATAAATAATTAGATATGCATGGTGGCATATGCCTGCAGTCCCAGCTACTTGGGACGCAGAGGTAGGAGTTCGAGGCTATAGTAAGCAAAAGAAAGAAAGAAAGGAAGAAAGGAAGAAAGGAAGAAAGGAAGAAAGGAAGAAAAGAAAGAAAGAAAGAAAGAAAGAAAGAGAAGTAGGGAATCTCATCTTTTCAAAAACTTTTGATATGATTTTAGTTTGTCTATAAATTCAATTTAAGTTAACTGCTTCTGTATGGAGTCTTTCTAGAAGCTAACCCATATGATAATGAATATCCTATTAAGAAAATATATAAAATACAAATAAACAAAATTAAATTTTAAAAACTTACTTAAAGAGTTGGGCACAATGGCTCAAGCCTGTAATCCCAGCACTTTGGGAGGCTGAGGTGAGAGGACTCACTGCCTGAGCCCAGGGTTTAGAGACCAAACTGGGCAACTTGGCGAGACCTCATCTCTACAATAAATCAAAAAATAAGCCAGGAGTGGTAGCACATGCCTGTAATCCTAGCTTCTTGGAAGGCTGAGGAGGAAGGGTCACCTGAACCCAGCAGGTCAAGGTTGTGGTGACCCTGAGCATGCCACTGCACTCCAGTCTGGGCAACAGAGTGCAACTCCAATTCAATAAATAAATAAAAACTTACTTATAGGAACTACTCCCTGATGTACAGCTCTTCAATTGTCAATAACACAATGTGTTTTTTCACCTTAGTCTAACTGTATATCCAAAAAGCATACAGTTGACTTAGAACTTTGAATTTAAATATCCAGGTCATTTTTTCAGATTTGGTTAGATACCAAATTCTATAGCTCGTTCATTTATTTTCTCCCACTTAATACCTTCTTCTACATTCAATAGTCATTACCTGAGTCCAAGCCTTCCATTCTCAAACCCATCTACTATAGTCTATACTACAAAGTTATTTTACTGTACTGACCATGACAATTTACAGCAATTAAACCAAAATAAAAATCCTATAACCTATCGTGGAAAAATGTCTTTTCCTTAATAGTCCCTAATCCTTTATCTCTTTTCTTATTACTTCCCAGCATGACTTCTCCAATTCTAGGTAACATCATCAAGCATAAACTGCTAATTCCTACTGTTCCATTTTTGCTTATAAGAGCAGTTCCCAAAGAGAATAGCTCACGACATTAGTTCTGCGGGATATGAAAAGGTATTATCTGGGAAAAGAGGGGAGGGAGAATGCTCAGACAAAACGTTGTAAACATCTGTGATTAAAAGGTTTTTTCACTGCAGAAATCTCAAAAGCTTCAATTGGCCAGTGTTTCTTGAGAAGGTGGAGGGCGTAGATCCAACAGGCAACATTTTTCAAAAGCATATGACCACCAAACAATCCCTTTTTCCAAAAGCATGGCCCAGCAAGAATATTTTGGAAACAGCCTGGGAAATGTTGTCTTGTGCTATTTTTTATACCCTTGTTAACAGAGTCTCTTAAGATTCTGCCAACAACTTGAGGTTTCAAAAGAAAAATTACATACTGAAAGCCTTCCCCAGTAAACACTATTCATTTTAGAAACATTAATTTAGCATCATCTAGACAGATCCTGAAAATATAAGAGAGGGTAAGTCATGGCTTTTGCCCTGAAAGAATCCATTGACTAGATGATCCTTGGTTTCTCAACCTACGGTTCTTAGAAAAATTGCCTCAGAATTAACTAAAGTATTGTTGTAAAAAAATGCAGATTCTCAGACTCAACCCCAAATTTAATTAATCAAACATTCTGAGGTATCTAATTTTTATACTCACATGATTCCAATGTATATTAAAATTTGAGGCCAGGCACAGTGGTTTACTCCCATAATCCTAGAACTTTGAGAGGCCAAGGTGGGAAGAATGCTTGAGGCTAGGAGTTCAAGACCAGCCTAAGCAACAAAGCAAGACTCCATCGCTACAAAAAATAGACAAATTAGCCAAGCAGGTTGGTATGCACCTGTAGTACCAGCTACTCAGGAGGCCGAGGCAGGGGGATTACTTGTGCCCAGAAGTTTGAGGTTGCAGTAAGCCGTGATCATGTCACTGCACTCCAGCCTGGGTGACAGAGTGAAACCCTGTCTCAGGCCGGGAACAGTGGCTCACATCTATAATCCCAGCACTTTGAGAAGCCAAGGTGAGAGGACTGCCTGAGCCCACGGGTTCGAGAACAGCCTGGGCAACTTGACAAGACCTCAGCTATACAATAAAATTTTTTTTAAAGTATGTAGTTACAGCTACTTGGAAGGCTGAGGCGGAAGGATCACCTGAGCCCAGCAAGTCGAGGATGCGGTGGCCGTGAGCATGGTCAATGCACTCCTGCCTGGGCGACAGAGTGAGACTCCAACTCAAATACAAAACAAAACAAAACAAAAACAAAACCCTGTCTCAAAAAAAAAAAAAAAGGTAAAAATAAATTTCAGAAACATTTAGCTTATTCACAGACAGAAATAAGCTGGGAGTGGTGGCTTACAGCTGTAATCTCAGCACTTTGGGAGGCTAAGGTGGAAGGATTGTTTGCAGCTGGAATTCAAGACCAGACTGAGCAATATAGCGAGACCTTGCCTCTACAAAAATAAAAATAAAAAAATCAGAGGGGTGGTGCATGCCTAAGGATTGCTTGAGCTCAGGAGTTAAAAGACCAGCCTGGGCAACATGGCAAGAACTCGTCTCTACAATAAAATTTAAAAATTAGTCTGGTATGGTGGTAGGCGCCTGTAGTCCCAGCTACTTGGAAGGCTGAGGTGGAAAAATTGTCTGAGCCCAGGAGGTTGAGATTGCATTAGCCGTGAAAGTGCCACTGCCCTCCAGCCTGGGTGACAAAGACTCCAACTCAAAATAAGAATAGACAGTAATGAACACAAGTAAAACGTCCTAAATTGCGTGAAGTATGCTGTCATGAAATGCTCTGGAAAACATAGGAGGAAATGATTAAGGTTGCCTTAGACAGAGCCATGTGAGTTGTATTAATACAATGAAGGCTGAACAGGATTTCACCTAGAAAAGGAAAGATAGACTGTGAGAGGAAGCAAAGTCCAGAGTATGTCTGGGAAACAGAACAGCTGACTGAAGTAGGAAATCTGGCTGAGGGGCAGGGAGGCTTAATTAGATTAAGATGGGAGGAGGACTGAGTAGGACTGGTAGAAGAAGGGCTGGAAAGATCGGATGGAACCAGGTAAGGAATTTAATACTCTAGAAAGAAAAAACTGTCTACCTTACTCATATGCCTCCTCCACTCTAGGCCCTTCAGTATTTATGGACCTAACCTACAGAGGGTGCCCAAAAACAGGTGTACACATTTTAAGAAAGGAAAAACTGTTAAAATTGTAATATTCAAATATACTGACAACAAAAGATGAATATACAAGTCACTTCTGACTTCTGAAATTACAAGAGGTGTTCCAAGTGGCTACCATCAGCGTCCAGACACTTCTGATTACAGCAAACTACAAGTAGTACATAAACAACATCTCTTAAAATGTGTACACAGAGGCCGGACTTGGTGGCTCAGCTTGTAATCCTAGCACCTT